CGAGGCTCGGACGTCCCCCGGTCTCCCTGCCACCTGCAGACGAGGTCGGCGACTCGGCCTGTTGTCTAGGGACTGGCAGACCCGTGGGTTGAGGAGCCGAGTCCTTGTCGGGACCAGAGGGAGAAAGGGCCCCGAACGAAGGCCCCCTCGTGTTCTCCCAGAGCAAAACAGAAACGTTCGCCATTGTCCTCCGCTCCCCCACTCTCCCCTGGGGACTCCCGAGGCCCTGCAGTGGTGGGCGAGATTCCGCCTTCTCCCGAGGCGGGTGCGCCTCGTGGGGCAGGGGAGAATGGGGGGGCCCTCACGCTCAGCCAGAGGGGCACCGGGGCTCCCGCAGCCCTGGCTACGGGAGGCCAGGGAGCCGGCGACGGGCCCCCAGCTGCCCTCCTCGGCAACCGTCAGCGAGGAGGTCCCGGGGCGACTGTCAAGCCCAGCGCCGGGCGGGGGGCCCTTTCTCCTGTGCCCCCTCCCCTGCTCTCTGCTAAGGCGCCCCCCCTTCACACCTGTCCCCACAGCCAGGAGCCTGTCTGGTCTCTTGCACCGGAGCCTGCCCTCAGGTACCACCAGCGTTTGTGTGCTGGAGCCACGCCCCCTCCCATTTCAAGCCCACGGTGCTGGAGGGGGGCACTCCTCGAAGCAAAGACACGGGATACGGGGCGCCAGGGCTGCAAGGGGCTGGCCTGAGCAACCGACGATGCGCCTGTGGCCAGCAGGGCACCTGGGCAGAGGGAGGACCCTGTGCCCGGCCTCGCCCCGGCCTCAGCCGGGAGGGGGTGCTGTGGGTCCGAGCCCAGAGGAAGCTCCTCCCATGCAGCCCCAGGGCAGCGGCAGCTTCTTGCCTGCAGGCACCTCCCCCCACCCCGGGGATGGCGCTAATGGAGGGGTCTCCCCCCCACCCCCGAGGGAACACCCAGACCTGGGCGTTTGCCCCTGGCTTCTGCCACAGCTTAAACACCGGGCGTGGCCCCTGCCTCAGCAAGGAGGCTGTGGGTACACGCCGAGAGCAGGCTGCTGCTTTGGGGGCGCAGAGGGCTGGCAGCAGCCCATTCCTGCCAGCTCCCCCACTCTCCTCTCTCAGGCACATTCTGTCCCTCGGCAAGTGGGTCCCTGTCTCTTCTTGTTGGGTGAGAGCCTAGGGCCCTCCTGTCTCCCAGGGATGGGTGGCAGTGAGTCACGCGCTGGCACAGGGACACAGAGCTGGCAGACACATCCATCGCTCGCTCGCGGGGCCACAGCCAGGGCCCCGACGAGGAAGAGGGGGCCGTGCCCCTCGCTTCCCTGCCCTGCGCCCGAAGAGGACGGCCGAGGCCCTGCCCCGCGGGGGCGGCATTCGGAGCCAGGATGGGGAGCCAGAGAGGAGGGGCGGCGGTCGGGTGGGGTGGGGGGCCCGAGTCGGGGTGTTGCCGGGTGGGGCCCTGCTCTCTCTACAAACCGAAAGGAAGTGAGCCCGCCCCTGTCCAACCTGGTCCTGTTGTGGGGGTTAATTAGCTGCTGCTCTGCTGGTGCTGGAGGCCAGGGAGGGAGCGCGGGCCTGAGGGGGGCGTCCCTGCGAGAGACCGGGGAGGCCACCGTGGGGCTTGGGCCACAGGCCCCCCGCTCCGCAGTCAGAACCCTGGAAAGGGTCTGGGTTCTGAGCCCTGGGCTGCGATCTGGCCCCGCCGCCCGCTCCGTGGACGGCGAGCCCAGGTGTGGAGAGGCGGAGGCCGCCCAGGTGCCCCGCCTGGGGCAGCCCCGCGGGGCCGAATGCCGGCCTCCCCCCGCCGACCTGATGTGTTGTACCCACAACCTCACAGCCCTTTGGAGTAGGGATTCCACTCATTTCAGAGACGGGCAAGCCGGGGGCCCTCGGCGCCTAGGGTCAGACAGCGAGTCCAGGGGCAGAGCCGAGCCTGGACTCAACGCTTTTGGCCGAAGTCCAGGGCCCGTCCCTCCGCACCAGGCCGCTCCTGGGACCCAGCTGTGTTAACTGCGGGCTGACCCCTTTCTATCTCTGCTCCATGGGCCCGGGGCCTGCGTGGTTTGTTCGGGCAGTGGGCCCTGGGGACACTCCGCATACGCAGCTACCTGGAGCGCGCTGAGCTTGGGCCTCCTCCCCAGGTGGCGCTGGGTCCCCTCAAAGCCCTTTCACAGTGGGATCATCCAATGCTGCTGTGTCCGTCTGTCCTGTCCAGTGGAGAAGGGCTGGGAGAGGGACCGCTCGTGAGCCCTGGCTTAACGTGGAGACCTGAGGCCAGGGAGCGGGACAGAGCCAGAGCACCAGCCTGGTCCTCAGGACCCTGTCCCTCAGGGCACCGGCTGTGGCTGCGGCCGGGCCGGGCCGGGTGGGCCACATCACGCAGCGGCCACGCTGGGCGCCGGCCCCAAGCGCTGGGCTGACTGCAGAGCAGCTCCTGAGCAGGGAGGGGCATGTGGAGGGCTCTTGTTTCTGCCACCAGGAATGAGCGGGAAGATGCCCTGCCGTACAGGTACCAGAGCAAACACACACATGAAACATCCCGTTATAAGCTGAGCTTTGGAAGACAACCAGCAACTCCCACTGGGCCCCAAATACTGCGCCTTATCTGGAAACCCGCCTCTGACGCCTCTCGTGCTCATGGCCGAGTCCTCCAGCCTGAGGCCGGGCAGGAAGAGACCGCCATCCTGGCTCTTGCGGTGGCACGGGGGGTTATCAATTAAAACATGGTAGAGGGTCTAGAAAGGACCGGGGCAACGGGAGTGCTGGAGCGTCTGTCCAGGAAGGCGGCTGTCGGGCTCTGTCTGCCAGGGGACCTGCCCCCAGCTGAGCTCCCATTCATGGGGGCAGAGGCTGTCCCTGCATCTGTGCCCACCTGCTGTGGCAGGGCCTGCGGCTGCTCAGGACTCGCAGGCAGGAGGCGGCCTGGGCAGGAGCCGCGCCCCCTCCCCCGGGCCCCCACCCCCCACCCCTGCCGGCCTCCCACGCCAGGCTGCTCAGCAGGGCGGGCAGCGCGCTGCCCCGTGCCCGCTGTCCACGCCAGGAAACCCCACAGGTGGGGGCCCCTCTCGGCCCCGACCTCCATCGCGCTCGCCCTGCTCTCCTTGTCCCTGAGCCCCGGCCCCTGTGGTCGCCCAGCGCTTGTCTGACTGTAGGCCTGGCTCCAACATCCGCGGTTCCACCTCCTCCCCCTTCGGCCCCCCCCTGCCAAAGCCCCGTGTGTGCTCAGCTCCTCGCTGTTCCCAGAGCCTCCCCTGAACGCAGAGGAGACGGGACGTGCCCCAGCAGCTGCCCCGAGGTGAGTCATGTCTGAGGTCCTGCCAGCGAGGGAGGGGCAAGGAGGGTGGGCCTTCGGGTGCGGGAAAGGGAAGGGGTTGTCCCTGCTGGACAGAAACCAGGCGGTGTGGGGCGGGGGTGGGGGGTGGGTGGGGGGCAGCTGGGAGCACCGAGAGCCGGTGAGTTTGAGTAAATGAAGCAGAAGAAATGCTCCCCATGGGCCCGGTGGCCCTGTTTGTGGTGCTTGGTGACAATCTTTCGAGCTTATAACCACGTCGGTAACACTTCAGCATTAATGCAACAAGGTATCGACCTACGAGCGAAGCACACGCCCCGGTTTCATGTTCCCAGATGAGAACCTTGGCACCCAGAGGGGTTTGGAGGTGTAGCTGGCGTCATGGAGCCAGGACCAAGCCTTCTTGCACCATCTGCACCGTCAGCACAGCCGGTCACCTGAGAGCCGGCCCCTCCCAGCCGTCCGCCCTCCCTGGTCTCGCCTGACCCTCCCTCCGCACGAGCAGGTCCTGCGCTGAGAGCCTGAGCTCGGCCCTCCACGCCAAAGCCCGGCTCGCACCTGCGCCTGACACGCCAGCGCGCTGTCTCAGCCAGCTGTGCTCAGTCACCTGTTCTCCACGCTCTCAATCGACATTAAGAAGCAGAAAAAAAATGGAGGAAAGTGAATTTTCAGCAACCTGGTTAATTTTCCCTTTAATCCCTAACCAATCACAGGCAAGAAACCCAAGTCCTCCACAATGAGCCCCAGCAAGAACCTGGGGAGGAAGCAGGCAGGCTGACAGCGAAGGAACACCTGGCTCGGGAACTGCCCGCCGCCCCGGCCCAGGGCCCCCGTGGCTGGGGGTGCCTGGGAGCAACACCGCCAACGAGAGCCCAGGGAGCCCCACAAAGAGCGTGCCCGGCGCCCCACAGAGAAGGAAGCAGCGGCCTTCACCGCCACCTGCGTGATGCTTCCAGAACCTCGTGAAAGAGGTCTCATGTTGCAAATGGCAAAAGAAATGTGACACCCACATAGAAAGACAGTGGGGGCCGTGCCGAAAGGGTCTAGAATCATCTCTACCCATGTTAATTTTTAAAAAACCATAGGACAGATGAAATCGGTGTTTTATACATGTTATTCCCTCTAATCCTGACACTAACCCCATGAGGCAGACTTTGTCACATCCATTGTGTGCGCGAGGGAACTGGGGCCCGGGGCGGGGGGTCCTGCCCGACATCCGCGCTCCATGGAGCCGCAGAGCTGGACTCGGAAGCCGGGCGTCCGACCGACAGCCGCGAGCCACGCCCCCTCGCGCCCGCACCCTCTCTGTCCAGAGTCACTGGGCAGCCGTGCTCTCTGGCCTCAGGGGACCCGCTCGGGCCCCCTCTTCGGTCCTCAGCACATGCTGAAGACAGAGGCCCCTCCAGGGTGTTCCTGCAAAGGTCTAATTTGATCCACAAACGGACCGCAAGAATTCATGTCTGTATGTGATCGGGTCGCACATTGGGACGCGGACGTGAACAACATTCTTTCCTTGATGTTTTGTGAGGGTGGCTCTCCTTGGAGACATTCAGAAATGTCCCGTCAGCCCCACCAGGAAGTACATTAAGAGCCTCATGAGACACCAGCCACGCCGAGGGACCTGGTCAGAACCGGGGGCCCATCTCGGGCAGCCCCCTCCCCGCGTCGCCCCCTTTGTCACAGTGCAATTTTCCGCACCGCAGACCCCGACCCCCGCAAACGTCCCCGGCGCCTGGGGCGGCCGCAGCGCCTTACCGGGTAGGCCCACGAGCCGTTCCCCATCTGGAACTTGGAGTAGTAGTTGCTCCGCGTGGTGGTCCCGTAGTTGTTGTAGTTGTCGGCCAGGCCATCGTACATGGAGCCTGAGGGCAAAGGCAAGGGTCAGGACGGGCTGGCTGTGCTGGTCCCCCGGCCCTCGCCCGCCAGCGCGCCGCCCGCCGCCCCCCACCCCCGGGGTCCGGGTCTGCACTGGCAGAGGGGGGCGGGGCCCAGGTGGCATGTGCTGCGTCCTCCTGCGGCAGGCCCCACAAGGACGGGGAGCGCCCCCGCCCCCTCGGGGGACCCCGTGCTCAGCGAAGGTCGGCACCCACAGGTCAGGAGCCGGCCTGCGGGGCCTTGGGGCGCCACAGTGCCCTTCCAGGGAGTCGTGACCCCGCGTCCCTCGGGGAAGGCAGGTAGGACCTGCACAGCCCAGCCTCGGGCCCCCAGGTGAGGTCCGGCCGCAGAGCAGCGCCGGCTTTGGCCGCGGTCCGCCCCGGGGGGGCCTCTGCCTCCAGCCTCAGCCCGCCCCACCGCTGCCGAGGGGACCCCCCCTCCCGCCTCTCTTAGCTGCTCCACCTGGGGAAGGGGGGACCCCGCCCTCAAAGGCCCCAGTGAGGACTAATTACTGTTTTCTGAGTCCTTGGAGACCCACAAATGAGAGGCTGTGCGGGAGGGCAGAGTGTCATTAGGGTTATCAGTGGCCAAGTGGCGAAGGAGTCGGATTGGACATGGGCTCCGATGGGGCCGCCCCCCCCCCCTCAGCAGGTGGCGGGGGCCTACCGGACGGTCCTTACTGTCCTGGAAACAGGACGGACGGCGACAGGCCCCAGCCTTGCTCACCAGACCCCTCGCCGCGTCAGCCGCGTCTCCTCGGACTCAGCCACCCCTCTCGCCCGCATTTTGGAGGCCAGCTCCCCGCTCGGCCCCTCCGGGAAGCCTCCCTGCCCAGCCCTGCCTGCGACCGGCCGGCCTCCCCGAAACACACGCTGCCCTGCTGCCCGTCCCCACCCCCCTCGCGGTGTGTCCGAGGGACGTCTGTGAGCGGGATGGCGGGGGGCCTGGCTGGTAAGCCCTGCCCACCACATGTCAGGCTCCATGGCCACACACGGGGCTCCTCTGCGAGAGTGGCGGGGCCGGGGTGACCGCTTCCACTTCTCTGCCTGCTCCCCACGTCCCGGAAGCCTTTCCTGGCTCGATGCGCCTGCTCCCCTCGCCCCGGCCGACCGCCCTCTCAGCACCTGAGGGCGAGCGTCTGGGCCTGGGGTCCGTGACTCTGCCCAGCTGGGCCTCCTGCAGGCGGGTCCGTGACCAGGACGCGGGCGCAGCCCGGCGCTGTTCCAGAACCCAGGCCACCGCCTTGGGGGGCTCCAGGCCCAGGACTGGCCGGGAGGTGACCCCGGCACGCAGCCCGCCCCCCACGTGAGCATCTGCATCCCACTGCCTCTCCAAAGGGCAAACATGTCGCAGGCCGCGGATGGCACGCCTGACGCACGCTGGCTGCCGGCCCGAGCTGCGCGCCGTCCCCAGGAGGCCTCTGCCCCCCAGGGAACCCCAAGATCCAACAGCAAACGTCTCAGGGAGACAGACGCTGCTTCCCTAGTGTAACAGCGAGAGCGCCCGTCGTTCTTGTCCGTGCTCCGGCCACGCCCTCTCAGGAGCCTGCCGCTCAGGCGGCTCCGTCCCCGGCGTCTGCCTCCCTCCGACGCCCCTCACTTTCTCACCCACCGACGCTTGGAAAACGCAAGCAACTCCCTCGCTGGGCACTCTCTCTGCAGTGGGGACAGGCGAGCTTTGGCGGAGATGACGCGCCCCCTCGCCTCCGAGCTCTCACCCCACCCGAACGCCTTCCTCTTCTCGCCAAGCCTCCTCCTTGCACTCAAACCCTTGCACAGAACCCTGCAGGCGACCCGCCCAGCTCTGGGCGCCGCGGACCCCACAGGGGGCTCGGGCAGCACTCTGTCCGCTGGAGCGTTCCTGGGAACGTACGTGCGTGCGTGCGTGCGTGCGTGCCTGAGTGCGCCAGCGCGTGACGGTGCGTGTCCCGGGGGTCCCCGTGCAGGTCTTTGTACGCGTGCAGGAGGACTTGAGAACCAGGACTCTTGAACTTGGCTGCATGTCCGGATGCCCCCGCCGCCTCCAGTACTAACTACATCAGCGTCTCTGGGGCAAAGCCAGGTGTTGACATTTAAAAAAAATTCCCAGGTGACTCCTGTGGGCAGGTGTTTCGTAGAGAGAAACTGCCAGCGGCTTGCCTCCGGGGGGCGCCCTCCTGCAGCCAGCGGGGGGCGTGGGGCGGGCTGGGAGCAGGGGCAGGGAGCCCACAGCCTGTTTCCCAGGGCGTCACCATGCCCCCGGCACCTTAGAGGTGACCTAATCCCACCCATCCCGGGCGCAGACACCCGAGGGAGGCGGTGCCTGGCCCAGATCAGCCAGCGGTAGAGCCAGACGGCGCTCGGGTCTCCTGACACCTGGGCAGGCGGGCTGGGTGCACGTGCCTGTGGGTGTGTGTGCACGTGCGGCGAGCCTAGGAGGGACGTGGCACGGGACATCTACCGTCCTGCTGTCCTCTTTTGTTCAAACATCACACGCCCTCTGGTTGTCGTGCGCCATCGCAGAAGGCGGGCCGACCAGATTTTAAACCTAGAACAGCGACTTGTGGAGGTTTGCAGTCTGCTGTGTGGGGAGAGGATTTTGTGTTTAAACAACCAAAAAAAAAAAAAACCTGCCCGGGGAGCCGAGCCAAGGAGCAGACCCAGGGAAACAGCGTTTGCTGTGAAACACCCTGGAATGCCCAACGTTTTTGCACGTGTCAGAACAGGCCAACGGAAATTCCGGTTCAAACCTCCACTTCCAGCCAAGGTGCAATGTAAAGAAACAAAAATCGGATCATTTGAAGTTTAATTAGTGGTTCGCTGCTGGAACAAGCGAAGGCACAAGCACCTTTCTCCCATCCCCCATCTCGGCTTGGGTCCCGAAAACACAACCCCAGACGCGAGGCCTGACCCCGGAAGGACAACTGGGAAGAGAGGAAGGCGAGCGGGCCACGCCGAGACGTGGACGTGCACGGCCGGCTCGCGAGGCGCCGCCAGGGGCCCCGCCCCACCCCCCAACGAGCATGCGCACGCGCGGGCCCAGCGCAAGCCTCCCTCCAGGGGGCCGCGGGCACCGCGGCCCGGGGGCGGGGGGGAGACGGGCACCGCCCAGCCGCTGTCACCCACCCCGTCTCTGACCGGGGAGAAATACAGGTTTGGCCACTGGAGACGGAAACGATGCCTCGGAGCAGGGGGACGTGAGGCCCAAGGCGGACGGCCAGAATCGCAGCTCTCTGAGCGCTAGGAGTCCCGGCTCAGGTGTGAGAGCGGGGACAGTGGATCCGGTCACACTCCGTGGGTGGTATCACCGAGCAGGGTGGCGGAGGGAGGGTCAAAAGGAATGTGAGCTAGAAGAACCCACACGTGGGAAATTGTCTCCTTTACCCCCAACCGACTGCGGGTGACCGAGCCCTATCGGGACTTCCCAGCCAGGCAGTCAAGTGCCCTGCGGAGACCTGTCTGGGCAGCCACGCCCCCTGCTTCCCACACAGCTTGGGAGACGCCCTGTGCGCGCCGGGACCCTCTGGAACGGCCGGGGCCAGTTCAGACAAAGAGCCACACAGGCAGGCAGGCTCAGAGCAGCCTCCTCAGTGGGGTCTCCCGGCCCCAGGGCCCCTCCTTTGCCCCCGGGGGCTGCCTGGCCAGGGAGAGGGGCCATCTCCAGGGCGTGTCCCTGGTCCGCGGGGGCAGGGGACAGGGACGGCAGGCGGGCCTCAGCCCCCTCTGCGTAGCGCGCTCTCTCTCCAGCCCTGGGCGCCCCCCACAGACAAGACTGAAGAGCGCCCACAAGTCCCCGCGCCTGTCCTGTCCGTCCTGGGGTCTGGGGACTGCGGTGTGGCCGGGCTGCCCCAGGGCCGCCGCTCCACTGGGAGGGCCCTGGATGGAGCCAGGGGCCCGGGAGAAGCAAAGGCTCCAGAGGGACCTGCTCCTCTCGTGGATGGGACGGAAGCAGCGCTCGCGTCTGTCCCGCGGCCTGGGGAGTGGCCCTTCCGCAGCCACCAAGCCCCTCTCCCCGGGACCAGGGTGGGCGCCCGGGGCAGGGAGAGGAGCGAGCAGCCAGGCAGGGAGCGCCGGGGCAGCCCAGGCGCGGAGGACGGCGCTGGTGAAGGGCGCCAGCTAAACCAGAAGCACCAGCTCCAAGTGGCCTCCCTCACCGCCTCTCCTGCTCTGGTGCCGCGGGAGCTGGCCCTGTGGGACCCTCACCGGAGCTGGAGGGGCGGGCCCGGCGGAGCCCCCAGCTCTGTGGACGCATGCGCAGCCCCGAGAGCCACCCCTCCCCTGGCTGAGGGCCCCGGAGGGCCTCGGGGTGGCCGGTCCCGGGCAGGTGGGAAGGAGGGGTGTGTGGCTGGTCTGAGGTCCCTCTGGAGCTGTGGGCCCGGAGCTCAGGCCAGAGGTGGAGTGGGAGTGGGGAGGGAGGGGGCCCTCGTGCCGAGAGCTGAGTGGCTTCAGCTGTGACGGATGCGGCCGGAAACAGGGCCCTTGGTTGTCCCAGGAAAGCTGCGAAGCAGCTACGGAGGCGCCACAGGCAAGAGGCCCTGCGTGGAGGCGGCAGGCGGGGAGCCGGGCGCCCGGCCCAGGGCTGGGGGCGCAGGGAAGGCTTTGGGCTGCTCGCTCAGGGCTGCGGGCGCCCTCGGCCAGCCACTTCTCCCCCGGGCTCGGGGGCAGGACAGCGAGAAAGGCGACAGACGCCGGAGGCGCCGAGTGTGACCTGGGAGTGCGTGTTGTGTGCGTGCGGTGGGAGGTGGGCAGGGGCCTGGCCCCTTCCTCTCCCTGCCCCGGAAGCCGCCACCCTCCTCTGCCACAAGGGCTGACCCCGAACGCACATCCCGGCTGACCTCTACCCGCCGGCAGTCTTCAGTCTTTATTCACATTTGACTAAATCCAGCTACAGAAATAAAAGTCCTCAAATTTGTGTGTCATTCTTACTGCGAATTGTTGGTGTTAAAGTGTCTGGTCTAAGAACCCCTCCCCCCGCAGTGCCCACCAGATCCGGGATCGCCCTCCCTGAGTTTCCGGGGCCCTGGCCCTTCCCCCTGTACCTCACCCAGGAGGCGCACTCTGGGGGGGCCTGTGGGGGGCTGTCTGGTCAGATGAGCACCCGGATTGGACAAGTGTCCCCGCGCCAACCTCGGTGCCTACCCTTCCCCAAGACGCTGTCCCCAGCTCAGCTGAGCGCAGCAGGGAGACCCCATGGGGAAGGGAGCCTCCGCGTTGCCCACCAGGGAAAGCGGGCGTCCCCAGCCCCCCTTGCGGCCCCCAGGGAGCGGGCCCGCCCTGGGGCGGCCTCTGCCAGGTGTGGGGCGCCCGCTAAACTGCTGCGGGGGCAACGAGAGCTTGTCCCACCCCGACAGCGCCACTCCTGTCCCTCGTTTGGGTTTGGTGACACCGTTGCTGCCTGGCTGCAACTCATTGCCCCTCCTGGGCCGGGATCCCACCGGCGTGGGCGCTGGCTGCCCGTGGAAGGCGCAGGAACGCCACGCTCGGGAAGGACGGGGCAGGCGAGGGCGAGCCCTGGGGCGCCGCCCACAGGGGAGCCGGGGCAGAAAGGAGCAGAATTAGGGGGGGGAGAGAGAGAGAGAGAACACGATGAACGGCGCGTGGAGAGACCGGTCTGTGGCGGCGGCGACGCGGGAACCCACCCTGGCGCGCGCGGGCGCGTGCGCTGACTCCTGGATCCGACCACCCCATCGGTTGGAGCAGCAGCTCCAACCCCTCGGGCCGGGCCGGACCGGGCCCCGGGGGGCTGTGGGTTCGCACCGGCGCAGCCCTAGCCAAGCCGCGCGGCCTCTTCGCTGCCGCCCCGGCCGTGCCTGCGCCGTGGCCTCCGACGGGGGCGCATGGAGCACGCGCGCGCGTTGGGAGACTTTACCTCGGTTGGAGTGGCTCAGGGTGGACGACTGGGAGGACTTGGTCTTGTGCCGCCGGGCGGTCATCATGACCTGCTCCTGCACGCGCTGGCTGCCCGACGCGCCCATCTTCATCTTCTGGTCCGAGGGCAGCGCCAGCGTCGAGTTGTCCTGGTTCTGGAAGCATTCGTAGGCCAGGGCCGTCTTGAGCGGCGAGTGGTTCATGGCGGCAGAGGCGCGGGCCGGGCCGGGAGAGCGGGAGGCGCGACGTGCGTGGGGCGCGGAGGGCTCTTCTCGCTCAGCGGCGCCGTGTGCCCATAGAGTGTGCGTCTGCCCGCTGCTCCTGGGCCTCCGCCCCGGCTCGTCTCTCCCCAGGCTCTGGCGGGCCCGCCCTCCGTCCGACTGGATATACCGCTCCTGCACACCACCCACTCGGCCGCCAGCTCCCGAGCGGGGCTGCCGGCTCTGCCTTTTTCTCCCTCCCTCCCTCCCCCACGGGCGGGAGGGGAGGTCCCCGCTCTCCGCCCCTTTGCCCGGTGTCTCTGCGCGTAGAAACACTGTCCTCAGCACAGGAACTCGGAGGCTTCTCTCGAGGAAGGAGTCTTTCCCAGGAGCCCGGGACAGGCACACGCCCATCCCTCTCTGTCCTGAGGCCCGGGCCAGCCCTGCTGGGGGGGAGGGGCTCCCCGCCTGGTGGCAGAAGGGCGGCCCCCGTCCACAGGGAGTCCTCCACTTCACAGGGACAGTCCCTTCTCCTGCAGGCAGCCTCCATATTAGGGGCTCAGTTAAAACACACACACACACACACACACACACTTCTGAATGGACGGAGGCCAAGGACCCACAGAAGGTGAATTAAGCCGAGCAGGAATCCCACCCAGATGCCCCCGAAACACTCCACGTCTGCCTCGCCCCCACAGCGTCCCGGGGTGGCCTTCAGGTGCAAGGACTACCCTGTGCATCGTCCCGTGCTCCCCCCTCCCCCTGCCGGGGACCTGTGTGTGGTGCCACGCCCTTCACGTGGCACCGTCCTCAGGCGCCGGGAGGCCACCTCATGCCCCTGGGTGAGTGACGGGCTGAGTATTTTTTTAAACAACGTGGACAGAAATTTTCGGAAAAGGCGCCCCGCCCTGCGTCACCTTCTTAAGCACAAGACCCTGGACAAGCGCACGGGCTCCTGGCCGACTCAGCGTCCTTGCTGTGGACGGCGGGGCCGAACCGCCGGCGGTCAACCCCGCAGGTCTGGGGCTCCGCCGGCGGTGCTTTCCCATCGCCGCGCACAGCGCTCGCACCTGCCTTTTCGGTGCCCCTTCTAACCCGCCGAGGAAGGGACCCTCGGAGTCTGCGCGCTTGCGGGGACTTGATGCCGATGAAGGATGGAGCAGCCTAGGGGGCCTCGGGGACCCCGTCCTGGGAAGGGGGCTCCTACACCGGGAGCCGCGCTTTTCCCTGGGAGGTCTTCCTGGTCCCCACGTGCTGAGCGGAAGGTTATAAAGCCCATTATAGTGTCCAATAGAAATAGTTTTCTAATTGAGGGCCGTGTGCCTGAGAAGTGAGTGTCAAATAAACCAGGGATGTGACCCACGGTAGGTCGTCGTGGGTACAAAAGTTCGACACCCGTGAGCCTCCCTCATCCTCAGAACGCGAAGGCTCGGCGTCTAGCCCTAGACCACCAGGGCGACGGAGCCTTGGGCACCACCCTGCCCTGCCCCCGCCTCGTTCCGGTGGCGCCGGTTAACACGTGCAAAGCCTCCATTCCAATCAGGCCTGGTGACTCGCAAGCCACTATCTTCCTCGGCAGCACGGCCTCCCTTATAAAAGTCCCATAAAGTGGGCATTAAAGGTCCTTGCACACGGGTTACGTGAGGGCCCCAAACTACTATAAAGTCCAAATGACAACACATTACAATGCAGGTGCCTAGTGTCACGCATGTGGCCTATCCAAAACCTAATGTGCCGGCACGGTAAGTGTTAATTATGTCTTGAAAGAGGATAATTTTGCTGCTTTTAGGATGGAGCAGGGCCCGGAGGAGGCGACTGGGCCGGCCCACACGGCTATAAAAGGCCACACTCAGCCCCCGGACGCTGGCACGGAGTGTCTCTGAAACTGTTTCCAGGCGCGCAGTTCTGCGCCTGCGGCTGGCGCTCCTCTTCCTGGCCAGCGGCACCACTCTGAGGGGCCGGTGACCAGGACCCGCGGCGGCCGGACTCCCGAGAGTCCAGGGAGCCCGGCCCTGAGCGTCCGTCACGGGTGGCTTCTTGCAGTGACCCGAGGGGGCGGGCACCGCTGCCCCCGCCTCCCTCGCTCAGATGAGGCCGCCCTGCGGCTCAGCGGCAGACAGCGTCAAGTGCTCGCTGCCTGGGTCCGGGCCGCCCCGATGCCGGGCCGCCCCCCGACTGCGGTGTCCGTGGGACAAGCGGTGGACGTTCTGCGGACAAGTCCCAGCAGCGCCCAGTCCCCTCTCCAGGCAGGAAAGCAGGGCCACCTGGGTGTCCCTAGAGGGCTTCGCGGGGCTATACGAGCCCCTTCCTCGAGCCCAGTGGCAAGCGTGCCCGCGGGAGCTTTGCCAGCTCACCAGACCCCCGCCAGCCCTCACGCTGCCGGGGCGGCGTCCGCCTGTCGTGGGCACCTGAGGAGGTGGGGAGCCCTCACGGGTCACGGTGCGTCTCAGCGCTGTGGGAGCGGCCCCCGCGGGGAGGCAGAGGGGCGGCCTGAGCCTCTGGTGGCAGGGACGTGCGATGGGCCCCAGGAAGCAGGGGGGCCCGGCAAGCGGGGGTGGGGGGCCCACGACAGAAGGCCGGTGGGGGCCAAGACCAGGAGCCTGGCCTGTGCCAGGGTCGGGGAGCAGCAGGCAGGGCCTGGGCGTGGAGTGAGGCCAGGCGCGCACGGGGGCCTCGGCCACGCCCGCCCCCTCCGAGCTGCCATTCTGGTCTCTCCAGGCTGGCCGGGCGGGGCGGCGGCCGGGACAGCGATGAATAACAGGGCAGCGGCCCAGCCCCGTCCCAACTGGCTGCCGTCAGCGCTGGGCTGGCGGTGCGCCCCGCCCCCTGCCAACCCAAAATTCCAGTTCTGCCCTCCCGAAGCCGGCGCGCCCAGGCTGCCTTCCCACCGGCCCCTCCCCGGGCTGCACGGGGGCTCGGGGCCTCCAGCCTCTGCTGGGCCAAATGGCGCTTGGGCACAGGCTCCAGGGCCTTCCCAGGGAGGTGGCCAGGTAAACGGGCACAGGTGTACCCCAGCTTCACCCTTGCTGGCTGTGTGGCCTTGAACGAGCCGCTTAGCCTCTTGGTGCCTCGGTTTCCTCCTTTGTGACACTAGCTTAGTAATCCCTCGCGGGGTTCCTGTGACCATAAATGTGTCTTTAAGAACATATGAACTGCCTAGCAGAGTGTCTGGTACACTGCGGGAGCTTAGTAATGCACAGAACTTCCCGTCCAGCGGCACCCCCGCCTTCCAGCTGCCCTCTCGTCGGGACTCCCCCGTCCCTGGGCCCAGGACCCCCACCGGCCTGTCCTCCTGGCTCGGCCCCGCGTCGTGGGCGACCACCATGGCCCGGTCACTCCTGCCCGTGGGAACCTCAGACCCTCAGAGGGGGAGGGGCCTCGCCCACCGCTGGCCTAGCCCTCGATCTGCTAGAGATGCACTGGGCGCTGAGGGGCACGGGGGCGGGGCCTCGTGGGGGCCTGGGTGTCGGGCCCCGCCTCCACTCCATGGGGGCATGGGTCCCCTCTCCCCCTTTCGGGGGAACAAGAATGGGGACCTGGTGACAAGCGCAAGGCTCAGAGGGGAGGCAGGCGGGGGAGGCATCCGAGAGGGCTCCTTGGAGGCGTCGCCGCTGCCGCCCGGGCCCGGGGAGGCCGTGGGAGCCGCTGCAGCGCTGGCGGGAGTGAGGGGCGTGTGCCGAGGAGGGAGCAGGGCCTGGGCTGCTGCCTCTGGCCTGTGTCTCGCTCCCCTGCCCGGCCCCGGCCCCAGCCCTGCCCAGCCTCGTGGTGATTCGGTGAGTCACCCGCCCGCGCCTGCAGACAAGGCGGCCACGCCCAGGGCGGCTGGCAGTCCAGGACGGCGTTTCTGTTCGGAGCTGCCGGGCGGCGGCCTGCCAGGCGGTGGAGGGCACCAACAGGAGCCAAGACGCCCCGGGCCGTGGGCCGGGCTGCGGAGCTGCTGAGAGGCAGGGCCTCCTCCCGCCGGTGTTGCCCGTCGCCGGCCAGGCCTCCCCTGGACAGCCCAGCCCACGGCCGCCCTCCTGTGGGCGCGCCCGCCCAGCGCCCGCCACTGGCCGGCACCTCCCGGCCCAGGCTCCGCGGGGCGGGCTTCAAGTGGCCGCTGAGCGTCCATGGTGGCCTGTGGTCAGGCCGCGCGTCCGGCGTGGGGTGCCCGGCCCGGCGACACTGCTTCATCCCTGCCCGTCCGCCCCCGCACAGGCTGCCCGACAGCCAGCGCTGGGCGGGCTCCCCACCCCCACCCTCGGGTGCCCGGTGCCCCTTGTGGGCGCCCAGCGCGCCAGCCCCCGGCACCCAGAAAGCCCTAGCGTCACCACCGGCAGGCATCGCTCGCTGCGGGCTCGCGGGGCCTCCGACGTGCCCAAGCGGCCGGAGCTGCGACCAGGTGCCCACCCCGCCCCGCCCCGCCCCCGCCCCCACCCTCTTTCCAGGCTGGTCTTCCCACCGGAGGCCTCGAGTCCGGGCCCGGCTGGGCTGGGGCTGGACCGGGGCCCACTTTGACAAAGAGCCCATGAGGGACTGGGGTGGGGGTGGGCTCCATGACCCTCTGACCCTCCAACCATCTCTGGCCTTAACGCTCCACGGGCACACAAGTCACGGTCAGGTTCCTCCTGCAACCGCAAGCCACGTGCGTCCCCAGCAACCCACACGGCACACGCCCCACCAGCTTTCGGGGGCGGAGGGAGCGGCCGGAACCAAGGTCCTGCCGGGGGGGTGGTGGCCTCCCCCAGCGACACTCTGCCCACGGCCCAGCCCCCAGAACCTGTGACGGGACCCAATTTGGAAAAAGGTCTTCGTGGCTACAAAGGTCTCGCGATGACATCATCCGGGTTTAGGGTCGGCCCCAACTCCAAAGGCAAGTGTCCTTCTGAGAGAGAGAGATGGGGGGGCCCGAGACGGGGAGGAGAAGCCAGAGGCAGGGCCCGGAGCGCGGGGGCTGCAGGAACGGGGTCCCCCTCAGAGCCTCTGGCCCAGGAAACAGCCGCGGATGCGAAACTGTCCGGGCC